CCAGGCACAGGGGAACACATACAGCACCGTCTCCTTCAAAGGTGGGAACTAAACAAGGTGATGTCAGAAATTGAGATCAAGATGGCGGTCACTGGAACTGGGGGGTAAGTGGGGGGACAGTCGGGGATGGAGAGAGGTTGGTCGGTGGGAAGAAGTTATCAGCGTGGTGTTCTGCTGCCCAGGAGGTGACCACCTTATCAAAGATGTGGGTGTGCCCACCACCCTGATCTGCTCAGTAAAATGTCCATGTGTTTTTTAAACATCACATAAATACGAACCGTTATCTATGTGTTCATGAAAAATGGTTTTTAAAAATTTGAACTGAAGACACGGGGCATGGTGACACACGCCTGTAATCTGTCATCTCAGTGGATCAGGAGGCTGAGGCAGGAGGATCCCAAGCTGGAGGCCAGCCTCAGCAACGGATTGAGGTCCTAAGCAACTCAGGGAGACCCTGTGTCTAAATAAAAAATGAAAAGGGCTGGGGACGTGGCTCAGTGGTCGACTGCCCCTGGGTCCTGTCCCTGGCACCAAAAAAAGTTGAATGGAAGGAAAAAAAAAATCATGCCTTTCCAACGAACTGTGACACCACTGTGACCAAAGACCTCAGTTGGAATAGGGGTGCTCTAGGGCGCTGCGTGGGGAGCAGGAGAAAGAGAAGGGACAGGAGAAGAAACAAAGCTTCAAAAGAGGTGAGCGTTCTGCTCAGATCCCCCAGGAAGGAGCCACACAGGGGCGGCTCATATGGGTGTGGATGGGGCATGGCTTGTAGAGGCGTGGCTTAATTGAAGGGGCGTGGCTTGTGGGGTGTGGCTTCTATGGACTGGGCTTGCTGGCAGAGGCGTAGTTTATATGGGTGTGACTTGCTTTGTGGGTGTGGTTTAAAGGGGGCGTGGCTTGCTTGTGGGGCATGGTTTTCAGGGGAGTGACTTCCTTGTGGGTGTGGTTTCTCAGGGGCGTGGCTAGCTCATGAGGTGTGGTTTGCAGGGGCGTGGCTTGATTTGTGGGTGTGGTTTGAAGGGGGCGTGGCTTGCTTGTGGATCATGTTTTTCAGGGGAGTGACTTGTGTGGTGGGTGTGGTTTATGGGGGCGTGGCTTGCTCCTGGGCGTGGCTTGCAGGGGCGTGGCTCGCAGGGCGTGGAGTCACATGATCTGGTCACATGGCTTTGGGTCATCAAATGAAGCCACCGCTCAGGGTCTGGATGAGTCTGGGTTTTGTCGAGTGGCTGCCCCCAGGTTTGTGTCTCCAAGCCAGAGCCTCAGGAAGGGTGCCAGCATCCCCGGAGGTGACGGAGCAGCTTGGCCCTCCTAGGCCTGTGTCCTCCACCTTGCAGCCAATGTGTCCCCGTGTCCACCCAGGAGCCCAAGGAACGGCCCTGGGTCACCTTCCTTTAATTTCATTTTTGGGGGGATACTGGGGACTGAACCCAGGGACATTCGGCCACTGAGCCCCATCCCAGCCCTATTTGGGGTTTTACTCAGAGACAGGGCCTCACTGAGTGGCTGAGGCTGGCCTCCAACTTGCGATCCTCCTGCCTCAGCCTCCCAAGCTGCTGGGATGACAGGTAAGAGGTGAGGCCACGTGCTCTGGGTCACCAACGTCCACCCCAATCCCTCTCCCATGGGCACACCCAGCTGGCCCGTCTGCATCTGCACTTAGGACGCCTGATCAATTATCCATCTGGCTTCTGTTGGCTCAGTGAGTGACAGACAGCTGCTAGGAAGTGACTCTGGTGTCTCACCCAGAGACCAGGGGTGGCTTCCCTGGGCCCCTGACGGAGGGGAATGGACAAAGGTCACGTCTTTTATTTATTTATTTACGTTAATGTGGCCTGGAGGATGGAGCCCAGGAACCGTGAGCTAGGCGAGCACTGCCCCACACCCAGACCAAGTTCACAAGCATCCAGCACCGAGCACTTGCTGCTGACCACGATGCCCAGGGTCCTAAGATCCATGCTGGCTGGGCGCAGTGGTGTGGCCCGGCATCCCAGGGGCTCTGGAGGCTGAGGCAGGAGGATCGCAAGTTGGAGGCCAGCCTCAACCACAACGAGGCCCTAAGCAACTCAGGGAGACCCTGTCTCTCAATAAAATGCAAAACAGGGCTGGGGACGGGACTCCGAGGTCGAGGACCCCTGGGTTCAATTGACACCCCGTTTTCCCGAGTCTCCACAGCGCCTTCCTCGCCCTCAGTGAAGACTGAATCGCTCCTTTTGCTCAGTGACAGCGGCCTCCCGATGAGGCTGCTAATGAGTCCTCCGGGAAGCTGCGCGTGCTAATCACACACGGCGCACAGCTTAGCGGGCGGGAGCCCGTCCCCAGCCCACGGCTGAAGCCTGGTCCCCCCCTTTCCCTCCCTCATTAACTAATAAACTGTTTGCTTTATCTGATGTCAAAACCGCCTCCTGAGAACCAGTCGTTGGGAAAAACGCTCAGAGACTTGTGCCTCCAGCAGGCACAGCTGTGGACCTGCGGGGTCCGGAGGAGCGAGGACGGGGGTCTCACTCAGCCAAGAACCCTGCCTTCCCGACCCTGGGCCTCAGTTTCCCCATCTGTGCAATGGGAGGGTTGGACGGGGTCACGGAGTAGCCAAGTTTTACTTAGGGGGCTGCAGTGGAGGTCAGCGGCAGAGGCTCGCCCAGCACGTGCGAGGCCCTGGGCTCGACTCTCAGCACCGCGTGTAAATAAACGAGTAAGATAAAGGTTTGAAATAACTTATTTAAAATAATTAGAATATATAAAGGCTCATCAGCAACTGACTCTCTATATAAAAATATCAAACAGGAGCCTCCATCAGTTTGCTCTGTGGGTGTCATAAGCTCCAGCACAGTCATGAGCAAACATATGGTGCTCAATCATTGTCAAATCTTCTCCCATCCTTCCCCACAGGGGTCCAGCACAGACCACGGATCCATATCAATCGGGAGACAGACGTGTTGGCTCATGGCTGTCATCCCAGCGGCTCGGGAGGCTGAGACAGGAGGATCAAAAGTTGGAGGCCAGCCTCAGCCACTGATGGGGGCCCTAAGCAGCTCAGCGAGACCCTGTCTGTAAATAAAATGCAAAATAGGGCTGGGGACACTATAGCTCCTCACGTCCAAGGGTGGACTCTGTCCCTCCAACCTTGGGTTCTGGATTCAGACCCATGGCTCGTGTTGTCCAGTTGAATGAAGGGGCTTCACTGCGAATGAGGACAACATGCCCCTCCCGGCCTCACCCTCCAGAGGTGGCCCGTGTTTCCACACATTCTCTGGCACCTGGGTCGTCACCATGGGAAAGACAGGAGGAGGAGGGACACATGGGCAAGGTACTCTAAGCTGAAACTTGGACCGAATGTGAGCTGACCCCAGATATTGATTTTGGGGAGACTTTTGTTACGCGGCGATAGTTGACTGATACATCGAAATGCTAAGCTGGGCACGTGAAGCTGTTTTAGATCTCTCTTTGGCTCTGACAAAGAAATAGCTTAAAAAAAGATAAACATTTGGATGGAGAGCAGAGAGTGCTCAGAGGGAAACCGGAATGATCTATAAACAAATACAAGCTCATTCTTTTTTTTTTTTTTTACCATCAAGGAATTTAAATCACTCATAAAATTCCAATTCCCATCTACCAAACCAGTAAAGATAAACACACACATATGGCGATATTGTGTGTTGGCAAGAGTGGTAGAAACAAAAATCTCGTCCCCAGCTGGTGGGTGTGCAGACTGATAACAATGCTTTGCAAATGTGGTAGCATCTACCAAATTGGTAATGGGCATGTGCCGTGACCCAGTGATGTTGCTTCTAGAGGAAACTCCCGCCTCTGCACCTCTATTCGTCAGCTTTGCATGACTGTAACGGATTACCTGAGAAAATTGAGTTATAAAGAAAAAAGGTTTATTTGGGCCCATGGTTCTGGAAGGTTCAGGCCAAGATATAATGGCTTCCTGGTTACATCATGAGCTCAATAGCAAAGAGAGAGGACAGGCAGGGTCCCACGGTCCCTTTTTAAAAAAAAAAAAAAAATTTTCTTTTAATTGTAGTTGGACACGATACCTTTATCTTATTTATTTTTATGTGGCGCTGAGGATCGAACCCAGGGCCTCGCATGGGCTAGGCAAGCGCTCTACCGCTGAGCTCCAGCCTGAACTTTCTAAAATGATTTTATGGGAAAATTCTCTTAGAAATTATTTTCTTGCTGGGTGCGGGAGGCGCACGCCTGTCACCCCAGCAACTCGGGAGGCTGAGGCAGGAGGATGGAAAGCTCAGCAACGTAGCGAGGCTCTGTCTCAAAATTGAAAAAAATAAATGAAAGGGGCTGGGGAGGTGGCCGTGACGTGACAGCATTGTTTCTTAGGAAAATAATTTTTCTTTTTTTTTTTTTTTGGTCCCAGAGATGGAACCCAGGGGTGCTTAAGCACTGAGCCCCGTCCCCAGCCCTTTTTATATATATAGAGACAGGGTCTCCCTGGGTTGCCTCAGGGCCTCACCACGTGGCTGAGGCTGGCTTTGAACTTGGGATCCTCCTGCCTCAGCCTCCGGGCCACTGGGATGACAGGGGAGCGTCACCTGATGAAATAATTTTTCTTTTATGAAAACTTTGGGGCTGGGGCTGGGACTCAGGGGCAGAGCGCTGGCCTCGCAGGTGTGAGGCACTTGGTTGGGTCTCGAGGCTGGGCGGCTGACCAGGCCTCCCTGCCTCCTCAGGCACGAGGCACGTCCTGGGCCAGCCCTGTGCCAGGTCACGGTGGGAACCTCCTGCCTGGAGGGGACTTGGGATGGCGAGTGCAGGCGGGCAGAGGGGCAGGAGGCAGGGCTGGTCCCTCAGACCCTCCAGCCTGGCTGCTTGGCCTGGACGCTTGCCCACTCTGACCCTCAGTCTTCTCTTCTGTGAAATGGGCCCGGGGAGGTGGTGGGGCAGCACTCAGCCCGGGGACAGACCCAGCCCAGGACGAGGACGGTGGCACCCCAGCCACCACATGGTCACCTGGATATAGCCCCGCAGTGACCACAGCCCTCGTGAGAACAAACACAGAACTTTATTGACCACACCAGGAGCCGGGCTCGGCGACATCCAGGTGGTCGGTGTGAGCTCAAGTAACAGGCAAGGCACAAAGGTCCCCGTCCCCAGCTGCAGGGCAGTCAGTGCTGTGCCCAGCCCCACGGTGGGCCCCCGCTGGACCCGAAAGGCTGAGCACTCAGCAGACGCGTGGCGTGCAGGTGTGGCTGGCTCCAGGCGCACAGTGCACAGCCCGGATGCAGGGCCTGCCCTCCCCTGCCCCAGACCTGGAGGAGGCGCTGGGCACAGCGGGGTCTGAGCCGTCCTCTGGTGGCGTCCCCTCCTGGAGGGCAGGTCCTGGGCGGCCGCCCAGCCTCCTCGAGGCCAGGGTGGGCTCGGGGCCCCCAGGAGGCTGCCCGGCAGTGCAGGGCGGGGGAGGGGATCTCGGGCAGGAGGGGACACTGCAGCTGGGGGACACCGAGGCTGTGTCCGGCTCAGGTGGACCGAGGTATTGAGCGCGGCACAGGAGCCGCAGGGACAGCAGAAGGTCCCATGGAGGCTCAAGGACACTCCAGGGACGGCTCAGGGTATCCGGGGGGGGGGGGGACAGAGGTCACGCGGAACCAGGAGTTTCTACAAAGACACAGAGCCACTGTCACAGTGGCCCCCGGAGGGGACGGAGCCGCCCCGGGTGCCTGGCTCTGGGCTCTGGTGTCCCACTGGCTCGGCTCCTGGTGGCGGCTGGGGACAGTTCCTGAGGTGGGCCGTCCCTGGTCCCTGGCCTGTCGTAGCAGCTGCCACAGGGAGAGTCCCCACGGGGCAGGAGACACACAGACCAGGCGCCCCACAAGCCCCAGCGTCACCAGGGAGCCCTTCCCTGAGACCACGAGGGTGACACGCGGGTGACTCGCCTTTAGCCACAAGGAAAACAAACACGAGGGTGTCCCGGCTCCTGGTGGCCACAGGGAGTGGGCCGCGGGGCTCGAAGGAGGAGGGACACGGCACACTGACCGCGGGCTCCTACCCACGGGGCGCTCGGGAGCTAGTGGGAGGCGTAGGCTGGGCTCCAGAGCCCCGAGCGGGGGCTGCCTCTGCGACCAGGAGGCAGGGCACTGAAGGAGGCCGGAGAGGAGGCCGCTGGATCTAGGGAGGACGGAGAGAGAGTGAGCAAGGGAACCTCTGGAGAGGAGACGCTCTTAAGCCAAAACAAGCATTGATGAAGCACCTGCTGCATGCCTAGGACACTTTCCTGATGAGGCCTGAGGCCTCCAGGAGGCAGCAAAGGGAGATCCTCAGGGGTATGATGTGGAGAGGGCGGACGTTGAGATTGTGCAGTGCCCAACCTGTGCAGCTGTGCAGGGCGCCCCTGGGTTTTGGGAAGAGGACGTACTTCTGTAGACAGAAACACTCTTCCAGGTGGGAAGGGGTGAGAGCCCACCGCAGGCTCGGCTATAAGGGAATCGTGTCACCGAGAGAGAGCTCGGGGTCTCCTAGGTCCCGTGCCACAGGTGAGAGGCGCGGCAGGGCAGGGGCTGTGATTCCAGGAGCCAGGACACGTGTGGCATCTTATTTCCAAGGAAAATGCATCTCTCTAGGAAGCTCTGCCCTCGTTCAAAAAGTCCATTCCCCAGCCTCCACCCGCGGCTGCCCAGGGCCAGGCACAGAGCCTGGCTGGGGGCCCCTGGGCGGCGGAGGGGAGCCTGGACCCAGAAAGGGGCGCCATGAACAGCTGCACAGGTTGGGCACTGCAACCCCATTAGATGGTGCTCCCAGAGGGACGTGCCTCTGGAGGCCTGCGGGGTCACCAGGCCTGTAGGGCCACCAGGTCTCAGGTCCCTCGGAGACAGAGGGGTCGTCGAAGGAATAGGCTTTGCCAGTTCTCCCTCTGGGGGAGCCCTCAGGACTGCCCGGACCCCCTGCCTGACTTGGGGCCCATGAGGCAGCCCCAGAGTGGACACCTGGGCCAGCATGGGCAGCAGCCCGGGGCTGTCCCCCCACACCCCCACAGCCCGGCCCCGGAGCCCAGGGACCCCCCAGCTCTGCCCGTGGTGGGGGCTACTCACAGTGGGGACTGTGCCCAGGGCTGCCTCGGGGCGTGAGGACCACGGGGCCGGCGAGCTCCCGGGGCGCGTAGACCGCGTGGTAGGCTGCAGGGGCGGACGGGTCAGCGTGGTCAGTACGGCCAGCGAGGGTAGGGCAGGCGGCACCCCCACGGCACCCCCCGGGACCCCCCAGCTCACCTATGACGGTGACGGCCGTCCCGGCCAGCAGGGTGAAGAGGGAGAAGAACAGGGCCTGGTAGGAGTCCAGGAGGTGCTGGAAGAGGCCGGCCCCGTCTGCGCGGGGACACGGTCAGCAAGGCCAGGCCAGGGCCACCCCAGGACCCCGCCAGCCCAGACCGACTGGAGCGTGGCCTGCCAGTGTCTGCCGGCCCCAGGATGCCCAGCAGGGCCACCAGGGCAGGGGACCCACTCAGGGTCCACCCTGCGTCCCCTCCAGGTGGGAGGTTTCCCGCGGTGACCTGGCCCAGGGCCGGCCCAGGACGCACCTTGTGGCTGAGGAGGCAGGGAGGCAGGGAGGCCAGGAGTCTAGCCTCGAGGCCCGGCCAAGTGCCCGCCAGCCAGCTGGGGAGGCCCCGTGGGAACCCGAGCCATCGTCACGCTGCCCGTGACAGGCGACTCTGGCTTGGTGCCCGGGGACCAGAGGGTCGAGGGGTTTGGGAGCCAGAAACGGCTCAGGAGGGCGGGTCCCAGGAGGGGAGGACGCTGGCCAGGGCCACCTGGGAGGAGGACGCTGTGGCCGGGGTGGGGGTTGTGGGGGGTCACAGGTGGACAAGAAGGCAGGGCCTGTGGGGTCCTGTGGCCACTGCGGGGACCTAGGCCCACCAAGGGGCCGGAGTTCAGAACTCGGTACCCAAAACAAGGTGACTGTCACCTCCAGAGACACCCTGCACCTAGGACCCTCCAAGTCGGCATCTGACCGCAGGTTTCCACTGACCCCCGAGACCACGCTGGCCAACCCTGCCCCTGGCCCCCCAGGTCCCTCCCGTGACGTCCTGTCCCGACACTCACAAGGGCCAGCCGCACGGCGATCCAGGACCAGGGCCACCGTCACCGGGATGGTGAGGGCCTGGTTAGTGGCAGGGCTGGAGAAGGTCAGGGCGGTGGACAGAGGACCCTGGCTGCCCGCCTTGGGGTCCGAGACGCCGACCGTGTAGGTGACGGAGCTGGGCAGCCCCGGGGACTTGTCCTTCATGAAGGCCACTACCGCAGGGGACCCAGACCTGACCTGGGAGAGACGTCAGGCTGCAGGGACACTCCACAGAGCCGCTGGCCGGGGGACCCAGCACACGGACAGACAAACCAACAAACGAGTAATAAATACAAATTTTTTAAAAAAATCTGCAAAACCAAGCCCAGGCGCAGCGGCCCACGCCGGTCCTCCCAGCGGCTCGGGAGGCTGAGGCAGGAGGATCGCAGGGTGGAGGCCAGCCTCAGCCGCTTAGTGAGGCCCTGAGCCACTCAGCGAGACCCTGTCTCTCAATAAAAATAGAAAAAGGGCTGGGGACGGTCACCACACGGGCGGTCAACGTGAAGTCCGACTGTGGTCCCCGCATCCGCCCCGAGCCCTCCGCTCACCTCCAAGCTGTCCAGGATCTCCGCGGCCCCGAAGACCTTGACCTCGCGGCTGGACAGGTGGTTGCTCAGGAGGATCTCGGTCTGGTCAGCGTACAGCCCGGGGCTGAAGGGCACCTCGGCCCCCACCTGCTCCATGGGGGCCTGGCCCCCAGCCACCGAGGCTGTGACCACCAGGGACGTCCTCTTCGAGCTCAAGTGCCGCAGCTGCCCGTCGGTCAGCCTGTGCATGGTGACCGCGCAGAGGTACTGGCCTGTGGAGACAGGGGCGTCCTGCTTGTCCCTGTCCCCCGCCTGTGCTGACGCCCCGCCCTGTCCCTGCCTCTCCCGGCCCTGCACCGTCCTGCGGGCTTGGCGGTGGCTGAAGGCCAGCCTCCTGTGGGCACAGGAGTGACAGAGGCCAGGCCCTGGTGGCACCGCACAGGACGGACTCCCGGGAGGGCCCTGGGCCAGGCTGGACAGTGGCTCCTGAGCCAGACGGTGACCACCGGGCAGCCCGCGGTGGGCACAGCCCCTCGGCCCTGGCTCACCCAGTGTGACGTCGAAGTCCGGCTCGGCCGAGAACACGTCTGTCGCCGGGAGGTCGAAGACGTCCTGCTGGAACCGGAGCTGGCAGCCCAGGAGGGCCTCGGGCCGCAGGGCCGGGATGGCCGCCCGCTGGGCAGCAGAGCAATCGCCTGTGGACGGGCGGGGTCAGGAGGCCTGGCCAGCAGCCACCACACCCGGCCACGCAAGGTGAGGGACACCGGCCAGGAGCAGAGTGTCCCCTGGGTGGGAACAGGTGGCTGGGCGCAGCTCAGAGGCATAGAGCCTGCCCATTCAGGGGCCCTGGGCTCCGGGTGGCCTCTGGACTCCCGCGGCACTGACCTCTCAGGTTAGAGCTTCTGTCGCCCACGGTGACGGTCACTCTGGAGGCTGTGGCCTCCTGGAAGCTGGCCTGGGCCGTGTGGACACGCCGGGCCACGATCCTCTGGGGGACAGTGACCACAACCTGTGGAGGGCGAGGCAGCCGGTGAAGAGCCGCCAGCTGGCCGTCCATGCTGGGCCCCCCGGTGACCCCCCCTGATCCTGGGGCCTGCGGACACCCGGCCCCAGGTGACAACAGGGCCAAGGCCTGTCCACCGGGCCAGCACAGCGTACGCACAGGCGGAGGCCACACTGACCCCAGAGCCCAGGCACTGCCTCCTTCCAGGTCCCCAGGGGCCAGCTGGACAGGACTGACCACCGCGGCCCCGGACAGGACTCCTGGTCCTGGCTCTGCCCCCGTCCGTGTCCCACTTGATGCCTTGGCTGGGCCTCGTCCCCAGCCCTGCGCCCAGCCCCCGTGTCCCGCCCACCCTCGGGGACACAGGACGCCCAGGTCTCCTGACAGCCCCACGTAGAGGCCGACCCCCACCTGGACCCAGTGTGACCCCCACTGTGCTGCCCCCCCCTGCCCCGGCTCCCCTCATGAAGGGCCGTGTGCGCCTGGTCAGCCACGTGGACGGGGTCACCCCAGCCCTGTTCCCTGTGGTCACCTGCGCTCAGCCGCGGGACCAACTGCCCAGACCTGATGCGTCTGGGATCTGACCAGAGACCGGACAGGCCCAGGACATGCAGCCCTCCTTCCAGCGGCCACCCAGGGCCCTGCACCCCAAGACCTGCCTGCCCCTGACCACGGCTGGGCCCTTCTAGGAGGCCAGCTTGGCCAACGGCAGGACACGCCTGGTCCCTGGCCACACAGGCCCGGCACTCATGTGCCACGGCATGGTCACAGGGCGAATGGCGCTTCCCTGCTGTCACTAGCCACCCAGGGACGACTCAGAGTGGACGCAGGACCGCACAGGCCACAGGTCACGCTGTGCCGCAGCACGTGAGGCACCCGACTGAGCACCTGCAGGTTTGGGGACCCGGGTCCTGGCCGAGCCCTGGACACACACGGTACTGGTTTAAAGGACAGGTGTTCCCGGCCACAGGCCAGGGCACCGCTGCCCGCGGAGGGTGGGCCAGGCCCGGCGCCCACTGCCCTACCTCCTTGTAGGTCCTCAGGTGCCCAGGGACCTCGTAGTGCACCGTCACGGGTCCCGCGTCCCGGGCCACGGCCACCCCCGTCTTGGGGTCCACCTGGAGGATGCTGTCGGCTGAAGAGCTCCAGGTTCCTGGGGCACCTGGGAGGAGAGGCCCCATGTCACTCGTGCCCCCACGGAGGACCGGCTGCCCGCGACCTCGCCAGCCTCTTCCCGGCCCCTGCCCACGAGGGGCCTCGCGGTTCAGCCTCCCTGCCCGCCTCCGCGGCCACGTCCTGGTGGTCCCTCCTGGCGCACCTGCTCTGCGGACCGTCCCCAAGGCCACCCTCCCCAGGTGCCCACCAGGGAGTGGCCCTGCTGCCCAGGCAGGTTCATCTCCAAAGCCAACATGGCCCATGTGGCCCTCTGGTGGCCGTTCCTGACCCCTTCAGGGCACCCCGGGGTCCCCCTCCCACCCTGGCAGGCGCGGTGACCCCGAGACCCCCCCCCGTCGGCTCTCTCACCCTCGGGGCCGGTGAGCGCGGTGGCCAGGCAGAGGACATCCCCGAGCACCACGGTGCCGGGCAGCTCTGGAGCGATGGCCGGCAGGACGGGCAGCGGCACGTAGTCGGAGAGGCCCGGGTGCTCGGGGTCCCACACGTGCAGCAGCGTCAGGCCCACGCCGACCGTGCGCAGGACACAGGTGTTGTTGGTGGTGCCCTTGGTCACCTGCACGAAGTCCTCTCTGGACACAGGGAGGGGCTCAGCTGGACGGAGCCCCAGGGCCTCGCGGGACAGAGGCCGCAGCCCCCGGCCACCCAGGGCCAGCACCGCCACCCCACACCCAGAAGGGGGACCGCGGCCAGGAGGAGAGTGACCCTCAGAGAAGGCCTCTGCTGTGGGACAGCCTGGCCACGTCCCCTCTGTGCGCCGGTGACACCGTGCCTGCCACGTGGCGTGACGGGTGCGCTAAACAACCAGCCCTTGGAGAGCAGCTGGTGGCCCTGTCTCCTAAGGCCCCGCCAGCTCGGCCACCGGCCGTAGGAAGCCCAGGCTGCTGTGGTCACCTCCGGCAGGACGCTCCCTCTGCCGAGGCTCCCTCCCCCGGCAAGGTGACCCCTCCCTGGGAAACCACAGTGACCCCCAAAATGAAAACAGGTTTGAGTTGGACAGCACGGGGTCCTGTTGGTGGCTGAGCCCAAGTCCCCACCTGCCACCGCGCCGGGTGGAACCAGGGGCACCCCCGGGCGGGGCTGTGACAACGGTGTCACCCACACCCTACCTGTTGGTGGCGAAGCTGAGGACCGAACTGTGCGCGTGGAAGACGTGTCCAGAGTGGTCGTGAAAGTGGACGGTGAAGGTCACGGTCATCCCCAGGGGCAGGGCCGCCAGGGCCTCCTTGTCCTGGATGTGCAGCACGGGGCTCATGGACATCCTCAGGTAGGAGACAGGGGACACCTGGAGGGCAGGGGCAATACGATGACACCCCTGAGCCGGGGACGGGCCTCCGGAGCGCCACGCTTAGGACCCAGTTCCCGCCTCCAACCATGCAGGCCAAGTCCCCCGGGCGCCACCCAGGACACCCACGTCCAGGACCTGGAGAGACCGGAGCGCTGTGCTGGTCGCTTAAGCACCACCGGCTGTCACCTGGCTCTTGGGGCACGTGAGGCGGGAACAATGCCCCTTGGGTCAGAGACGGGCCCCAGGTGACAGAGGAACCCGAGTCCCATAAATCGCAACTCATCAAATCTCTCTGGATCCCAGGCACAAATCTCCCGGCCACAAAGCCACCCTTCCCAAGTCCAAAGTCACCACAAAGACCCGGGAGGCGGTGGCTGGTATACAGTTAGCGCTCAGCACGTGCGTGCTGAAACGGGATGAGCACTTAGCCAGTTTCATGAGCTTGACAAGTCTCGTGGGGGGTCCCCGGCACGCGCACAGCGTTTGGGTGGCCCCCTGCAGGGGCTCCACTCGCGGGGGTGGCCACATTAGGGATCAGGCAAGGCGGGCAGTGTCCCTGTGGGGTCGGGGCACCAGCCCCGGGCCCCCAGGGTGACCGAGGCCCTCACTGGACTTGTGACCCATCTATGAAACAAGGTGCGTGGAATCGGTGACCTCTCGGGGTCTTTGGCTCCAACGGCCACACACCTGTCCAAGATTTTGTCCCTGGGTGACTCTTATGTAAATCCCTATCCACGGTTTGCAGCTGGAGAGTGAATGCATTTTTTTGTTGTTGTTGTGATCGGGAACTGAACCCAGAGGTGCTTCACCCCTGAGCCCCGTCCCCAGCCCTTTTTTGTATTTTATTTAGATCCAGGGTCTCGCTGAGTCGCTCAGCGCCTGGCTAAGTGGCTGAGGCTGGCCTCCACCTGGCGATCCTCCTGCCTCAGCCTCCCGAGCTCCCGGGATCACAGGTGTGCACCGTGGGCCCCCCGGCTGGGTGAACCGGTTTTACACGAGAAAGAGGAAAAAAAACGTGCCTCTGAGCTTTTACATTTTGTCATCCCAAACGGGGCCAAGTGCCACCTACCTTCACGGCAATGATAAGGGTCTGGTTGGCCCCGAAAGGCTCCTGGGCGGTCACTTCGACAGTGGACGTCCCCATCACAGAGCCGGACACCAGGAAGCCCCTCTCATCGGCATGCACCACGGGAACCCTCTCAGGCCCCTCCAGGACACGGTAGCAAAGAGCCGCGGCACCGTCCCTGGGGGAGGAAGACATCTGTGTCTACAGATGGCTGTGGCGGGGGTGGGGGGACGGCGGCCTCGGCGGGGGGCCCTGGTCGATGCCTGGAGATGGACCATCTGCCTGCAGCGCGGTGTGCGCCGTCTCTGAGGACAACGTGGCCACATCAGCTCTGAAAGGGGAGGCCGGGTGCCCCGTCCTATTTCTGGGGCTGCTCAGTGGACCCGGAGAGGGGTCACGGACACCGTCAGCAGGCACTGAGCCAGGGGACATCCTGTGGTGTCCTGCGCCCTCTCCTCTGCGGCCAGCCCTCCGGGTGGTCCGGGCCGCGTCTCTTGCTGGCTGCCTCCTTAGCTCCCTGCTCAGAACCCGCAGGCCTCCAGGGGGTCCTCCAAGGCCGCCCGGGTCAAGACCTGAATCTGGGCAGCAGCTCCCCTAAATCTGGGGGCCAGCAGCTCGCTCTTGAGCCCTGGCTTGGCCGTGTGGCCCCTTTCTTGATAGGCTCCCGCAGGACGCCTGCTGTCACCCCTTGTCACCTCGTGCCATCCACCTCTGCCTGCATTCCTGGGGCCTAGCACAGTGCCGGGCACTGAGTTACTTGCGGCTGAGCACTCCCTGGCTGTGCGTCCATAAAACATGGAACTCGGCCCCCCAGGCCCTTGGCCAGCGTCACTCAAGCGCGAGCGCTCCTTAGGAAAAGTGTCCCTGTCCCTGTGAGGGTCAGGTGGGAATCACGTCTGCTCAGAGCCTTTAAAGATGCACTTTTCGGACGTTAATGTGCACGGCCACCGCCCGGGGACCTCATTACAGGGCAGCTTTGTCCTTGCGGGTCTGGGCAGGGCTGCGAGGCGCACTTGACCTGGTCCCAGGCGAGGTCGCTCTGGTTAATTCATGGGCTCCGCGGCTGAGTCATTTGAAATATTTAACAGTCCAAGTTGGAACTTGTTCCCCTTTTCAACCCCGAGCTTCCCCCGTGAGGGGAAGATGTTTCTAGGCTGCGGGAAGCGGGTGGCCCCGGAGGAGGGCAGAGACGGGCAGCGGCTGCCCAGGCCCGGCCCAGTGCCCAGAAGGCCCCCTGGGGCGTCCAGATGGGCATGGGGGGGCAGCTCCCAGCCCCGCTGCGAACGGGAGCCGGGACACGTACCTGTTTGTCTGGAGCTTGATAAACGAGTTGGGGGACATTAATATTTGTTCTGCTTCTATCTCGGGGTTCAGCAGCCGCAGCTTCTCGAAAACCTGGGAAAGAGGGTGAGCTGGGTCTCCCACGGCACGCCCGAGTCCCCTTATCACCAGTGGGGACTGGGGGCCAGGACGAGACCAACGGCAGACCACCTGCCCCACGGCCGGGGACACGATGGGGCTGGTGGCCCAGGAGCAGCAGCCGCCTGCACCCCGTGGGAGCTGGGCCACCCGCCTCTCCCTCGGCCTCGACCTCAGCCCGTGTCACAGGAGACTCCACAGCAGGGAGATCAGGCCTGGAGTCCTGCTCGGGGGACCCCTGCCACCGAGACATCCTGTCCTCCCTTTCGCCATCTCAGAACAAGCGTCTCTCTCGAGGGCTCCTGGAGCCCACGGGAGTGGGGGGGGTGGGGGGGCGGGGCAGCAGAGCAGGAGCCCACCACCTACATCCCCTCTCCCAGACTCGGTAGGGCAGCTGGCTCCCTGCCCTCTAGGCAGTTGGTCCTTTGTCATGAGGCCCCACCCAAGGCCTGACCCCTGACCACAAGCAGGGCCCATCTGCCCTCCCCTGAGCAGGCTCCACCCTCCCCTGAGTAGGCTCCTCCCTCCCCTGAGTAGGCTCCTCCCTCCCCTGAGCAGGCTCCACCCTCCCCTGAACCAGGATCCACCCTCCTCTGAGCAGGCTCCACCCTCCCCTGAGCAGGCCCCACCTTCCCATGGGCAGGCTCCACCCTCCCCTGAGCAAGCTCCACCCTCCCCTGA